AGTCATATCCGTTAATGAAAGTTAAATTATTTTATCGACAATGGTGTCATGACGTTATTTATTATTTGACACGTGTCCCATTCTAATTGGTTTAACACTTTAAAAAAATTTAAAAATCAGAAAATAAAATAATAAAAAAAGGTTATTGTTAATCTCAAAGGTTATTGTTAATAAAAATTAGTAAGGTTGAGGGCACAGCATAGAAAACGAAGAAGTTTAGGGGCATAACTTAGAAAAACCCTAAAAAAAAATACTTCTTCAAGCAAGGAACTTAAGTAGTTTTAGAAACCATTTGCATGACAATGGCAACAAAGGTAAAGAAATTCATAGAATTAAAGCTGAAGATTAAAATTTGATATGCATTGTTGTTCGAAATCTATTTTGGGTGACATCAAAGTAAGTTTAAAAAGTAATTGATGAAATTGAAATTTTATAAATGAACTAAATTTGTTGTTCTTTTTTTTTTTTTTTTTTCTTTTTTCCTACTGACTAAATTAGGAAATATGTTATATTTGATGAATTAGGTATTTACAAAGAAATATAATTGGTTTAAAGTAATAAGGGTTGACGAATATATGTTTTAAAAGTTTTGCAATATATTTGTAATTTAGGGTTTAATTTTTGATATAGTATGTTTTGTGTGGGAAGTTAATAATATATAACAGAAGGTTTTGCGTAGAACGGACTCATGTGAGTCCAATGAGTCCAGTTTATAACCTTCAAACACATCACCTCCATTTTCTCTCTCCTTCATTTTTACAATCCTTCATTCGTCGCCATTTTTTTCACATTTTCTCTCTCCTCCTCAATCGGATCCTTACCTCATTGTAGAAGCTTTCTTCTTCTTCAATGGTGGACTGTCTTGAACGCAAACCTCGACGACCGCAGCCACCGCTGTTGCCGATGAAGAGGACGAGACGAACACCGGGTTCAACCCTCAATTGTTTGTTGGAAAGTGGGATGAATAGAAAGAAATGGGTAGTTTTTTGAGCTTTTTTGTGTGATTTTAATGGTTTTCTCCATTGTTTTTGAATTTGAAATTGTGGGATGGGAGTTAAGGAAGCAGTAGAAGATATTGTTGGTGAAAATTCCAAGTTATCTTGGAGAATTACACAGGATAAGTGGGATTTGAAGGAAGATTGAAGGGAAGAAAAAGAGCAAATGGAAGTATAAAAACCAAAGATAAACCCGTAGCAAAGAGAAGAATGGTGGAAAATGGAGATAATGGTGTTTGTTTGCAGCAACAAATTGAGGATAATCCTGGCTTTGCCAATAGCGAGACCATATCTCTAGATTTTATGCCTAACGAATGTTATTTAATACGACTAATATTATGTAATACCTGACCAATATTATTTAATTTATGATATTATTATCTATAATACCTGACTAATACTCCGTATTATCTAATTTCTGACAGTTATTATCTAATTTCTGATACTTATTATATAAATATCTGACCAATACTCCGTATTATCTAATTTCTGACAGTTATTATCTAATTTCTGATACTTATTATATAATACCTAAATAATATTATCTAATATATGCCCAATATTATCTAATTTCTGATACCTATATCTAATACCTGACCAATATTATCAAATTTCTGACACTTATTATCTAATTTCTAATACTTATTATCTAATAACTGACCATTATTATCTAATTTCTAACAATTAATTTTTTTACTTTGTATGATTGGACTCACGTGAGTCCGTTCTACACAATACTTTTCTAATGTCCAATGTACCTTACTCATGTGTTTTTAAAATTATATATAAGAAATTTAAGTGAGTTTTGAATTTTTTTAATATCAATATAATTAAAGTGCTATAATTATGTATTACTTCCTGTGTTTTTTTTTTAATTTATTAATATAATAGGTGCAACACTTCTTTTTTCACGCTTGCCAATACATGTATTCAATCGTTTATATGTTTAATTACCAATATGTAAAAATTATAAACATTTTATATTAATATTGTATCAATCAATACAGATCTAACAAGATCCCATATGACTATATTTCTACTTTAACATAAATCGTTAAAGCTAGTCAAAGTGAAACAAGTGAATAGTGTAAAAGTCAAACTGTTCCAACTATAAAAAAAACAGAGGAAGTATAATATATACGTAGTTTTCAGAGTTCTTTGTAGGGATTAGGGAATAATTTATGAGTTAAATTGTGGTGTGCAAGATTGGATTGTAGTGTAATGACAAATATGGAGGGCAATTTGAAAAGAAACATTGATCTAAATAAAGTGTTTAAGCTAAGGATTGTGAAATAAGAGGATTGTGGAATAGCAAGCGATGACCCGGAAGTGGGAATGACCTTCATATAAGGAGAAGAATTTGATATGAATTTTGTTTCTAAAACATTCATTTTTGACGATAAAATAATACAAATAATACTAAAACAATCATTTTTTATACTAATATAATACAAATGATGAATTACAAAATATTTTCAAAACAATTTCAATACAACAATACACTTAGTTTTCGTCGTTGCTCGCTCACTCGCCATAGTTTGCCTTTGATTTCACTCTCCATTGTTTCTGACCATCGTATAGACCACATCACTCTATGATTTCGCCGACCATCGTTTCATACTATAAACCATATCACTATTTGATTACGTCAACCACCGACCCTTCCTTTCCTCTCAACTTAGGCCCCGTTCTTTAGAGCTACACTGCTCTGCTTTGTTCTGCTGAGCCCTGCTCTGCTCTGCTATGCTCAAATCAACTGTGCTCTGCTCTTCTCAGTTCTGCTCTACTCTGCTCAACTCTGCTTAATTTTCGAATAATAATTGATAATAACAATAATAATAATTAATATTCAATAATGATAATTAATAATGTATTGATGATAATTATTTACTATTTTAAATAATTATAATAATTATTAATATTAAAAATAAATTTAATAAGTAATAATAACAACAACAACAACAACAACAACAACAACAACAACAATAACAAAAACAACAACAACAACAACAGCAACAACAATATTAATAAAAATAACATTGATAATAGTACTAATAATAATGTTGAAATCTGATCTGCTTGGCTCAGCTGTGCTCTGCTCTGCTATCCTGAAATCTGCTCTGTTCTGCTGAAATTTAATCTGCTCTGCTCTGCTGACCCCTGCTCTACACTATTCTGCTCTACCCAGAAGCTCAAAAAACAGGGCCTTACTCACCTTAAAGCCATCGTCGTCTCCCTTTCATGGTGTTTTCTCGCAAATCCTCAACATCATTCACCGCCATAAATACAATAAATTTCAAATTTCAAATTTTTTCGTTTGCAAAATTTTAAAACTGAAACTATTCATGTAAGACCAAGTGGGCCAACTTCTCCAACCAATAAAAAATGTTGTCTATATGGGGCACACATAAACTATCTATCTATAAATATAACTAAAGTAGGTACCGCTGACATCATATTGTCCACATAGCAACTTTACAAGAAAAATTTTCCCGCCTAAATAAAAAATGATGTCATTATATTTTTCATTGGTTTCAAATTTTAAATTTAATTTCACCTCCTCTCAATTTATCTGTACTCTTTAATTTATTTAATTTCTTTTTTCGTCAACTATTTGTATCCAATACACACTCTATGTTTCTTATATGAAGTTATTAAGTAATATGAATACATACAATATATACTCTATGTTTCAATGAAATTTCTAATATTGTGCATCGCACGAGACTTATCTAGTTTTTATATATAGTTGTACCCTTTTCGCTTAATTAACTGTTATTTTAATCTATAATTGAGTGTTACCCAAATCCAAATTAAGCATCGGAACAGACACCCATATCGTGAGTAAATTTATTTTTTCCTTTGGTGAAGGGGCATATCGTGAGTAATTATAAACATATGTGGACTTGTTTATCACCACTCACCCGTCATCTTGGATAAAATCATTAGTTCCCAAACCCAACCTAATCCAATCCATGAAAACCAGCAAACTCCCTGCCCAAAACCAAAAAAAAAAAAGGAAATTTCACCAAATGCCGCTGAGTAATTTTTTTATTCACCAAATACCCATCAAAATTTTCAAATTCACCAAATACCCATCAGTTTCTGTACATTGTCATTAAATGCCCTTTACCTAACTGACGTTAACTCCCCGTTAGTGCTTTTTGGTATTTCACCATATAACCATAAAAAAAAGAATGTTTTTCACCATATACCCAAACTTAAGTCATCTTTTTTCACCATTTAGCCCGAAAAATTTTCAGCAAAGTTTTCAAAAAAAACTAGTCTTTAACCTGTAAAACAAAAAAAAAAAAACGGCTAGTTCCTTTTGCTATATATTTAGTCCTCTCTTTTCCTTCTATTATATATCCAATTGAAACTATGATTTCACAAACCTCTTCTTCCTCCTATGAATCTTCATATATCAGAGTTCCTAACAACCTTGCATGTGACAACTTCAAGTGGTGTAGAGGTGTAGATCACAATCTTGCATTTATTGAATGCCAAAGCAAAGAAGAAACAGGAGGGGAAAGTAAACTGAAGCAAGACATAAAGGTGCTCAAGAAAAAGATGCAGCAGCAACAAAGAGTACTTCTTGTAGCAATCAAAATAGGGATTGTAATGTTTGTAATCATAGGATTTGTAACATTTAAGTGACTTAATAAATGTTTACAGCAATTTGCGAAATAAAAAGTGCTTTAATTACATATGATTTATGTTTTTGTCCCAAAAAAAAAAGACTACATTCTAACACCTACTGCATTGAAATATAGATACTAAGTTTCAATTTCTTTACAAAAAATAATGGCAGTGGTGTATTCACAAAAAATTATGGCAGAACTAAATTAAGCAACTTGAGTGCTTCTTGTTTTCTTCTACTTTGACTGAGGTTAGTGAGGGGTGCTTCCACCATCAGTTTGTCCCTTCCTTTTTGTCCCCTTCCCTTTTCCTTGTGTTGTAGCACTAGTCCCAGCTTTGCTACTCTTGTTCTTGCAGGTCAAAGAATTATGCCTCAACTCCTTGAAAATTCCAATTGTTCTTGTGCCTTTTGCCTTTCCTTGCTTCATGTGGGGCCCTTCTTCTCTGTTTTGTTGGTCTTCCAGCACTTCTCTTCACATTTGTGGGCAGGATTTGAGGAACATCAAAACTTGGCCAATGAGTAGGGTTAGCCATAGGGTGGATGTGCCGGGCATAAGTTGCTTTGTAGGCAGCCCCTTTAAAGTATGTTGAAATGAAATTGGTGGGTTCCAATCTCTGGTGGTATATAACCCTTAAGCCATGCTTACAGGGAATTCCAGAGCCTTGCCATTTGCCACACCCACAAGTCATCAAATCCTGATTGATAGGGAATTTAACATGCCTATCTCTGACCTCAAACTCCCTCTCCCCCCCCCCCCCACATAAAGTGACATGACAAAATCTTGAGTCATCACTTCTACTTTGGAGTATGTTCTGTGCATACTCTATGAGTTGATCAGGTTCCATGTTTATAGCCTTGTCAAATCTGGATCCCACTCTCTTCATCACCCAATTTCTTACAGCTGCATCATGTAACATATAATTAGGGGCATAAAACAACAGCAATGCATAAAAAATTTAGTTAGGACTTGCTTTGTTGTACCTTCCAGTAGTGTAAGCATAGGCATGTCTCTGAAAGCCTTTGTACAGGAGTTGAAAGACTCAACAATGTTTGTTGTGTTGTGATCACAACATACTTTGCTGTCAAACATCTTCTTTGACCATTGCTCTAGGACATCCCTTAAGTATTTTTCAGGTGCAACATCATGCTCTTTGATTTTAGTCATTGCTTTCTCAAAGACATACTCATTGTATGCATCTGCAGCTATCCAAAACAGCTTATGAAATGTTGAACCACTCCATCCTGCTGTTTTGCAATTGAAGTATAGATGTTGGCAGCAAATCCTCCTTGTTTCCTTTGGGTAGAAATCATGTATTGCAGCATCAACTCCCTAATTGAGTTACACAAACTAAGATACACAAAGTTAGGAACTCAAATCTAGTTAGTTTGTGAACAAAATGAAAATAAATAAAGCAACTTGGTAAGCTTACCCTCATTATGTCAGAAATAAAGGTCCAGTCATCCTTATGACAACCTTCAGTTGCAAACAAGCATCTCAGATTTCTGAAGAAATATGTCCAGCTCTCAGTGCTTTCAGTGTCAACAATACCATAGGCTAGGAAAAAAATTTCATTGTTTGCATCAATACTAACTGCAGTAAGCATAATGCCTTTGTAGTAACACTCAAATGTGCTCCATCTATCCTAATTATGGGCCTATAGCCACCTAGAAAGCCTTTCACAGATGCAGCAAAAGAAAAGAAGCAAGCTTTGAACTGAGGTACTTGGTTGCCAGTGCTTGCTGTCCATGTAATGAGTGCACCTGAGTGGATCGAAAAGGGTTTATACCCCAAATCGCTTCTAGTGCCATCGAAAAAACCCTCTACTTCCACGGTCACTACTTTGGTGAGTCGTGCTGGTGATTTCTTTTGTTCTCTCCATACGTTTGATAAGGAAATCGGAAAATGGGTCATTAAGGGTGCGGAAACCAAAAAATGGCAGATAAACCTGTAAGTTACCTATGAACTGTTGAATTTTAAGAAGCTTTTGCATCAAAATCACTATACAAACCATTAACTGTATTATTGACATCCTATTTCCTTTTGTTATAACTTGAGCACACTAAAGAACTAGTAGAGAGAAAATTGGTCCCAAGTGTGGAGAATGACCCTTTTTCCTTGGCTTTGGGAAAGCCATACCATACAGGACAAGTAGTAGGTTCGGGAGGGTCATTGCTATAGACACCTAAAAATGTCTCCCCAAAACCAAACCGGATGATGAACAACCTTTCACCGCCACTATTGGTCGGGTTCAGTATTTAATCCCGAGAGTGCTTAAAAAATCGTATTTGATTAAATTTATATTTTTGAACAATCTATGTATTAGTCTTGATATTTGGTAAAAGCATAGTTTTAATTTCAGCCCAAACTTATTATTTAATTTTAGCCCAAACCTTTTTTATTTTATTGTTTTATTATTTATTTTTGGCCCAAACATTTTATTTATTTTTATTTAATTATTTCTTATTTTAGCCCAAATAATAATAAGTCAGAAAAGGCCTGAAAGTATCAATCGACACTTAAAATAAACATGTTATGATAAAGAAATAGTTCATTTTATAAGAAATGTAGGAAATGGGCAAAGTAGAAGTCATATAGGCCATATTTGGGCCATTTTGAATAAATTGCGTCTTAAACCTTAATAGTTCTTTTGACTCAATTTTAATCCTTAGACATCTAAAACTAGGTAACATTGACATGTTATAAGAAAGAAATAGTTCAATTCATAAGAAAGGTAGAAAATGGGAATAGAAGTCATATAGGCCATATTTGGGCCATTTTTTGTTAATATGCTCTTTTGATGTGATTTCTAACCTTTACACCTAAAACTAGATAATATTCACATGCTATGAGAAAGAAATAGATCATTTGATAAAAAATTTAGAAATGGGCTAAATAGAAGTCATGCATGTAGGCCATATTAGGGCAATTTTTGGTAAATTGCTCTTTTGATTCAATTTTAAGCCTTAGACACCTAAAACTAGGTAACATTGACATTTTATGAGAAAGAAATAGTTCATTTGATAAAAAATGTAGGAAATGGGCAAAGTAGAAGTCATATATGTCGTATTTGGGCCATTTTGAGTATAATGGATCTTAAAACTTAATAATATGCTCAATTGATGTGATTTCAAGTCTTAGACACATAAAACTAGGTAACATTGTGTAACACCCCCGATTTACTAACTAATAATAAACAAGAATTAAAGGAAAAAATAAACAACCTTTAAATAAAATTGGGGAAGCATACACCTTTATCGGAGGTATCACCGCCACGCTCAACAACCTGTCGAGTGTTAAGGCTTACAAAATTCCAACTGTACAACTCAATAAACCTAGGTGAGCTGTTTATACAACTTTACAAACTTGTTATAACAAACTAATCGAAACACTTGAGCTCCTTTAGCTACGATCACTTCATTAGCCTGCTTAGAAAATCTTGACTGTTCACCATTAAGGACAAATTCCAAAATAGATCGTCGCATGGCCACCATAAGAAAAAGATATGGCCGCAAACACAAATAGCACAACAAAGTAACACACACGTCAGCAAAAGCTGAGTCATCACCACATATCAGAATACAAAAGATAATATAATAATTAACATTACTAGTTCAATTAAACAATGTAGTTCGAAACTACATTACACATTGTACTCTGAAAATATAACCTTTATCAACTCAACCTCCAAAAATAATACGAACCTTTACTCAATCAACTCATATAACCCATAAGTGTGCCATGCTCGTTGTTCTATACCTAGCCCTGGACATGGGTAATTTGAATAAAACCAACAAGTATAAAAACTTGAATACTCCCAATAACCAGAAAACACCTTAAACCAGACCACATACGGGGCAATTCCCACTGTAGGGGACCATAGAAAAATAAATATAAATAAAGATTGTACCTCATTCTTAACTCATGATTATTACCCTCTTACCAACAAGCCAAGGACTAAGTTATATAACGCCGAGCCTCAAACCAAGAACAAAATTATCATTCTCAACCTTTTGATCTCATACATTGATCAAATAACCATTCACAAATTAATTTATAATATCTTAATATTGGCACATGTTCCCAAATCACATAACAAGATCAACTCAATTCATAAAATTAATATCTCAACTCTTATATGGCAATAAAACTAATACCAAAATATAATCAACTTACAACCCAAAAAAATACTCTGCATTAACAACCCTAAAACCTCGATAACACAATATTCCCTATAACAATAACATGAAAACCCTAGAAATAATCAATCATAAACAATAAAAGTAGTACGATACTCATATCCTGTCACATCATATAATACCAATAATCAATCATATACATATACGAACTTGATCACACGAATTACAATTATAAAATTTACACATATAATAATACAAAGTACAATTAATAAACAAATTATAACCAAACAATTCTAATAACTTAATACAATCACATTATAATCAAGCAACTCCAAAAGATCGATAGTGTGATTACCGTCACGAACATACAGTCTTCGTTTTGCTTGACGAGGAGAACATCACACTTTCTTTCACATTGTATAATAAAATCTCATGAATATGAGATGCTTATTCATGTGCACCAACACACAAGAGTTGACTTTGATTTAGAAAATCCAATTGATGATTAATTTGCATCATCATGTTAAAGGAAAAAGTAGTAAACTCACAAGAGATTTTTTTTTTTTTTGCAGAGTACAGAGTTGGGGTAAGCCGAGGCAAAGCCTAATATAATTAGGGTATAAGAAGTATTTATAGTTTATAAACAAGACTTTTATAAGATATAAAATAAGGTTTTAAACTTTCTAAAAATAAACTACGTAGATAAGGAAGTTTACTTAATAATTAAAATAACTTAATTTGTACGCATAAATTTATAAAATATTCAGGTATTACACATTGACATGTTATGAGAAAGAAATAGTTCATTTCATAAGAAAGGTAGAAAGTGGGCTAAATAGAAGTCATATAGGTCATATTTAGGTCATTTTTTGTTAATTTGCTCTTTTGATGTGATTCTAACCTTATGCACCTAAAATTATATAATATTAACATGTTATGAGAAAGAAATAGATCATTTGATAAGAAATGTAGAAAATGGCTAAATATAAGTCATGCATGTAGGCTATATTAGGGCAATTTTTGGTAAAATGCATTTTTGATTCAATTTTAAGCCTTAGACACTTAATACTAGGTAATATTGACATGTTATGAGAAAAAAAATAGTTCATTTGATAAGAAAGGTAGGAAATGGGCAAAGTAGAAGTCATATAGGCCATATTTGGGCCATTTTGAGTAAAATGCGTCTTAAAACTTAATAAAATGCTCTATTGATGTGATTTCAAGCCTTATACACATAAAAATAGGTAAAATTGACATTTTATGAGAAAGAAATATTTAATTTCAAAAGAAAGGTAGAAAATGAGCTAAATAGAAGTCATATAGGCCATATTTGGGCCATTTTTTTTTAATTTGTTCTTTTGATATAATTTCTAACTTATACACCTAAAACTAGATAATATTCACATGTTATGAGAAAGAAATAGATCATTTGATAAGAAATGTAGAAAATGGGCTAAATAGAATTCATGCATGTAGGTTATATTAGGGCAGTTTTTGGTATAATGCTCTTTTGATTCAATTTTAAGCCTTAGACACCTAATTTTAGGTAATATTGACATGTTATGAATTTGATAAGAAATGTAGGAAATGGGCAACGTAGAAGTCATATATTCCATACTTGGGCCATTTTGAGTAAAATGTGTCTTTAAACTTAATAAAATGCTCTATTGATGTGATTTCAAGCCTTAGACACCTAAGAATAGCCAACATTGACATGTTATAAGAATGAAATAGTTCATTTAATAAGAAATGTAGAAAATGGGAAAAGTAGAAGTCATATAAGCCATTTTGGATAAAATACATATTGTTTAGCCTATTTAATTAATTCTATCATAATTATTCTGTATTTCAAGTTTTGCAAGGTACAAAAGCATGGTCCGTTGACAATCAAGGAATTTAATGAAGTTCGAGACATGTTGGCATCTTTTATCACCTTTAACATGTAAATGTCACTTTTATTGTGAATTTATGTTTTGTTAACTTTTTAGTATATTATTATTCATTAATTACTTACCATCCTTTGTACATTTATATAACACTTTTTATTTATTGTATTGCATTTTGGAATATTTATATATGCATGTATGAATTATTATTTTTAATATTATTTGTATCTTATTATAATTATTAATAATATTATTATTATTGGTAAGTATAATAATAATATTATTAATTATTTTTGTTAATATTATTGCTGGAATTACAGGCCTAAAAACAGGTTATTATTGTTGGAATTACATGTTTTTTTTAATATTATTGCAAGAAAACAGGGAAAAAAATATAGTAAAACAGCACCGGTTAACCGGTGCCAAAAAGTGACTACCACCAAAAAAAATTGCGCGGGGAAATATTATTGGCACCGGTTAACACATGGCCAAAATTATTAAAGGCAATGGTTAACCGGTGCCAAAACCTATTTATACCGCCAATATTGAACCGGAGGCAAATGTGGGAGGAATTGATACCC